AATTCAGGGAGTCCAGGTGGTTGAGTATCAGAGTGTTCCATCTCGTTTCCCTTTGGGGTTGCTGTAGGTGATCGGGAAGTTTGGTTCTGAGACTTGTTTATGCATCTTCTCATTTGGATGGGGTTGGGGGTGGGGTGCTGCTGGTGCCTGCACAGCTTACCTCCTGTGCACTGGTAGCTGTGGCACATTGACCCGGAAGTCTCCTATAGGCTGGAAGCTGTGGCATGTTGACCCGGATGCCTCCTCTGCGCTGAGAGGTGTAGCACCTTGACCTGGAAGCCTTCTCTGTGCTGGGAGCTGTGGCATGCCAACCTAGAAGCCTCCTCTGTACTGGGAGCTGTCAGAGAGAACTCTTTCTGATTTTCCTTTTGTTGTTACTTTAGTAGTGACGTATAGGCACTGAAGTCTGGCGTATTTTGGAAGTTTTCCAAATTGATTTTCAAAATGGTATGCCTGTATTTAGCAAATTCATCCCCCCCCCCTTTTCCCCTCTGTCTTTTCCCTCCTTCTGCCTTTCCCTCTTTCCCTTCTCTTCTTTTCTCCCTCTCTCCCAAATCTTCTTTCTCTTCAGCTGAAATGTCTGATAGAGGAAAATAAATGGTATTTCAAACTGTTGACTAAAAATCTCTGAGGACTGCTTTCCACAGAATCAAGATCACTATACCTTTTCTTCATTTTTTTCCTTTCAGTGAGGAAATTAGCATTTATATACTAGAATTAGAGGTGGTTATTTTTCTCTAGATATTTTCATTTGAACAAACCAATAAGAATGTACACATGATTAAAATAATTATGTTGATTTGTTCACACTTAAAGTTAGATAACCTTGAAAGTTTACTAACAGAGGGTCCCTTTTTACCAACTTCACATCTTCTTACCAGACTTCACATCTGCAGTCCTACAGTGCATGGGTGCTGCTTATTATTGTCCACTTGGACCTATGACCCACACAGCTGAAGGCAATGTAGAGACCTCACCATGTCTTTCCTACATCTTTTATTTTAGTTCCAAGTTGGTAAGGGCTGGAAAAGAGACAGAGTGGGAGCTCTTCACTCCTGGAAACCTTTCCATTTAGTGACCTATTCTTTTGCACATTCCAGGTAACTCTGACTGCCTTATGATCAAGAACATCTGAGGGCACTAATCCCTATTCTTTTATAAGACATGAAAGTGAGAAGTTTGAAATGAAGGGTTAAAACCTGAGAAAAGAAATATATTATCTTATATTCCTAGGCTGCTAATTCATTTTCCATATGTAGGTGCACCTGTCCACTGGTTTTTCAGAAGGGACTTTCTTTCCACTCCTTTTTGTTATCTGTGGAGTTACAGGTGTTACCAAAACAGCATCGGTTATTGCTTTAATCAGAGAAATGAAGACTTCTTCTTTGCGACCAGCTGTTTTCTTTTTTTGTGTTTGTATTTTTTTTTTTTCAGTACTGGGATAGAACTCAGGACCTG